GTACATTCAATCCCCTCATCAAGATCATTTAAGAAGAGATTGAACAGGACTGGACAAATCAAGCATTCAAATTTAAAAATTACTACTCTTCAGGCTTCTGAATCCTGAATCCTACTAATAGGTTTTTTATAAAGAACGAACAGATTTTCTGAGGACTGCTCAGACTTGTTTTCCATACACTCCTCTTGTAACAGACTTGAGACACAAGAAAATCACAAGTCCCAGCTGCTCTGCAGATCTTCCTTCAGTCTTCTCTTGGGGCACATTTCTCCTGTGACAATTACCTCAGCCAACATGGGAAAGACGCTTCCTACTTCACAACAGCTCCCAATCACCACATTAAATCCACAGCAATAACTCTTAAATGAAAGTAGCACCAAGTTAAAAAAATTTCTAAGCCATTTGCATGGTGTTCCAGACACACAGTAAGAAATGAATGAACTACATAGTGCTCCAATAAGAAGTTCATAAATTCAATTTAACTACATTTACTGAGCCTACACCATTGCTCTACACTAAATGACTGTTTATAAGAAAGGGCTTCAAAAGACCTGGCATAAACAGTGAAAATAAAGGGCAGAATAAGAAAAAGCATCTATGCAAACTATTATAAAATATTTTTTTTTAAATTTCACTCTTAACTTTTAACAGTTTTCCTATGCAAACTGAAAATATCAATATAAAAGTTGCCAAAAAAGTCATCCCTAACCTGGTAGACAAGCTGTTTATAATAAAACTTAAATCATATCCCAGAATATGATTCTGATTTTTTTTTTAAATGGGTAATGCTTGCTAGATTACTTTAAAAAATAAATAAAAAATAAAGAGAAATTAAAAGAATTCAGGTGTGCCAAGTTTCACAGGGGATCATAATTCTCTGTTCCATAGAACACAGCCGAACCAACAAAGTAACGAAGTTCAAGAAAAAACACCATATTGGGTTATTCCCATTTCAGCTGTAACTCAGATTGAGAATTATAAGAAATAGTTACAACAGTCTTTAAAATCTCTTGCCACATGTCTTACCTCTGCTATACATGTCTCCAGTAGTAGGGTTTGTGAGGAATGGCAGGAAGTCATCAAAGTGACTTTGCATATACTTTGCTGTTTGGTTTCTCAGAGTTGCAACAGTCCAGGAATTTTGGCGATCCTTGAGCTGATCTTCAATAGCTCTGTACATGCAATGGCCATCTGAAGGAATCTGTTTAATCTCCAAGTGTCTTGCTGCCAACAAGGAGGCAAGCTTCTGACTTTCAAGATGTCTAGCACCTGTTAAATTTTCTATCTCAGCTTCAGCTATCCTTTCTTCTCTTTCTTTCTCCAAGGCAGCTTTTTTTTCCTTAAAAACACAAAAATTACATTAAATATTAACATTTATAAGGTACCAGTACAGTTCTTGGCATAGTACTTGCTTCTAACACTTCAAATGTTTTCTCAGCACATTCATATCTCTGAAATGTTCCCCTCACTGTGTACTACCAAATATTAGAGACCTCCTAAACCCATACTTTAGCAAATTTTAAGTGACCGGTATGTCCTAACTGCCTCTGACACATCTGAAATTATGTGACCGGAGAAATATTAATTATATCAACATGCAAAATAACACTTTACAACACCCGTACAAAGGCGATTAATAGTAGTCACTTCTTCAGGATCACCTATTTCACCACACTGGCAAACAACTCAAGTATGGGAATTCTAATTAAACAACATAAAACATTGCTCTTTCATAATAAGTGTGAGACTTACCACTTACACCTATGATTGCATAAAAGAGTTCACATCATGAAACTGAAACTCCCTCAGGCTAGGTACTATACAACATAAAAGACTGCACCTAACCTGAAGGATGGTAAGAGCGCATACAGAGAATACTAGAGGGGACCTAATAATACACAATATAAATTTATAGAATGCTTTGTAAATTTATGCTTAAGTTAACAAGGGAATAACAATCAAGGTAAGCAAGCAAACAAAAAAAAGCAGCAGTATAGAGAATGATGTTTATACTTTCACACTTAAAATTAACCATAATTCAAGACCAGACCTGTTCAGGCAACCACAAAGTAGGAAAACTAGACTACACAGTTTCTAGCTTGTCTAGGCATGGCACAATAAATTAAGAACACGCTTTTATCATGTTTGTTACACAGCAGCTCTCCAGTAGTGATCATGTAATAGGGAATGGACTCTGCTATAAAGCAGTGCTCCTCTGGCCCTGAACCAACATTCACACAGGTACAATGGGAACATTAATCCATTGCAGCTTAACATCTGAAGCTTAACAAGATTTAACTCTAATGGCCTGGACACCAGGTAGTGTTTCATAACAACTCAAAAATTTTCAAGAATTTCAATATTAACATTCTTGAGTTAAATATGTAAAGTTCTACTGCCTGCATATTTTCCACGTGGTATTTTACATTATTTTAATTCAACTACTTTATTTCTTTATTAACATTTTTAGTGAAATTCATTTAAAATCATTTGCTTTACATCATTTATTTTTTCCTGGCTCCCATCTCCTGACCTGTTCTGGTTCCCAGCTCATCACTGAGGGTAAACATGTACAACTATTTACAAAATGCTTACATATATCTAGGTAGCAGCTTTACAGATTTTTCAAAGAACCCAGTAGGTATGGCATCAATACTGAATTAGCCACATAATGTCCCCTGCAAAATTATTTAACTTTGGTTATTACAGTTAAGTGAATATAACTTCAATCAAACATTTGTAAAAATTTTAAAAAAATTTAAGTGTTAAGTCATACCCGCCTCTTCTGTGCTTTTGATATTCTAGGATGCTGAGTTTGTTGTTCCACTCCTTCAAGCTCTAAGTTTGCAACCCCATCAGCTACAGAATCTGTCTAAAAATAAAAAAAAAAAAGTTAAATGTTCTTATTAGTATAAATGATAACTGAGATGTGCATGTCCTGAAACAGTTTTAAGTTCTGTTTCTAGCTAATTTCAGGTATATTTATGAAGCTTAACCACAAAGATCTGTATATAGCACAGAACTTGTCAAAGCCAAAAGTAAAGCATTTCACAGCCCAAATCACTGTTGTGCATTTTATTACTTTTTCTGTAGTGTCAACAAAAAGACAGTGATGAACTGCACATCTCAAATTTAATCTGTGTGTTTTTTCAAAAGCTTCCACACTGAAGCATGAACACTGCTTACTGGCTGAAAGGGAAAGTTTTCCTCACCATACCAGCTGACCGAAGTATCCAAACAGTCATAACTCTCACAACTGAAAACTATTCTTTCCCCACAAGGATTCTCAGCAGATGCTTCTCAATCAAGTCTATTTCCCTAAAAATCATTCAGAAAAGCTTTCACTCTCAATTTCAAACAAAAGTACATTCCGCTTAACTCTTTGTTAGGTCACTAATCGGAAAACACCTAGTCCAGCAAGTGTAAACAAACAAAAACCTGTTTCCTTGACAAGATTTAAACAGTCAAAAGACTCACATTGTTAGGGAGACACTTAAGGAGATGCAAAAGCATAGAGTATTAGCATCATTCATAAGATACCTGTGTTGCATCAATTTAGTAGTTAGCCATCAAAGAGAAAACTAGAAGCATTTCAGTATGCAGCTATGCTGCCAACATGGCAGAACAGCAGCAGTTAAGACAATTCTCATCATCACAGATGTCTTCTCACAAAAAACTCAGTTACATGGTTGACAGAACTGCAAGATGAAACACACTGCATCACTCAAATGCCTATTGAAGGCCAAAAGTACCCTAGTAGTCTCCTTAAGATAATTAGAGTGACAACATAAAAGGAACTTAAAAAAAAATTTGTAAGACAATTGAGCTACTCACATAGCCTTAAGAGCAGAACCAAATACTGCTCAACAGCAAAAAAATCCCACTGTTAAATGCTCCTTCTAGCAATGCCCACCCACAGTAATAGCTGAATCTTTCCAAAGATTAAAAGAGCTACTAACACTGCAAGGAAAAGGAGAAATACTTTAAACTGTTACTTCATTAAAATTTTTTGAAATTAAAGGCCTACACAAATTGTATTTGTACAACTTCTGCTGAAGTTAAGGCACCGACCTTACTCTGCTGAGAGGAAGATTCCTTGAGCTGCTTTAATTCTTCCTTGTGCTTCTGTTCAAGTTCTGCCTCTAGTTTGGCAACTTCATCAGCCAGCTGTTTTCGTCTCTTTTTATCATTCTTGGGAACAGCATTTTTCATGCCTTGAATTTTTGCTGTTACAGAAGTAGCATAATAAAACATTACCTCTAGATATAGGTACTCCACAGTCATTGCCGTAAAGAGAACTGCAAGTCATATATAAAAAAAATTTACAGATATCAACATATCAGTATGTTTTAACTGTTATAGCTATGAGACCACCCATTATGATCATCACATCATCATTATGATCATCACATTTTAAAGCAGCTATATTTTTCTTAAAAGACGCAAACGTTATATCTGAAGAAGAGAAAAAACTTGTGCAAGGTTACTATTATAAATACTTCTGAACTTCATCAACACAGCAGACTTCAGCCTGCTGCCTTAAAAAAAAGATTAATTGGGCATCGAGATCTCAAATACTGTCACAGGAAAGATGGGTAAATTTTTAATCAAGCGAGCAGCAGATTAAAAGTAAAAACAGAGTTTACCTTTCCTTAAAATAAAGTTCCTAAATTAAAATGGGTATTCAAGAAGAAAAAAACCCCACCCTTAACTTCCTTAAATTTCCTAAGTTTTTCCAGGCTCCATTTCTCAAATTATAGAACAGTTTGCTTAGAAAGGATGTCCACAGGTCAGCCAAGTTCAACCTCCTGCTCAAGCTCGGGCTGGATTCAATGCTACATCAGGTTACATTAATTCAGATTGATCTGGAATTTATGTAGATGACTGCATAAAGTCTCCAGGGATGGATACTCTGCAACATTTCCAGGCAGCTTTTTACCAATTCTTATTAGAAAAGTATTTTCCCTTTTTCCTCCCATGAGGATTCTTCTTGTTACCACTTTCAGCCATTGTCTTCAGTCCATTATCTATGCATTACTTTGAAGAGTCTGGCTCCATCCATAACACAGCGGAAACTACAACCAGATTCCCCAGTCTTCTCTTCTTCTCCAGGCTGCACAAGCACAGCTTTCACAGTCTGTGCTCTTCTTACACTAACACTCCCTGCTAGCTCTTGTCACCCTGTCCACTATTCATCACCTGTACATTTTCCTGTCCTTCACCCTTGACTGACACAATTGAGCTGAAGATGATGGCGATGATGATGAAATTTTTCAAGAGGAGG